CGGTGGACACAACATATTTGTATTTGTTTGTATGTGGTGCTGAGGATCGAACCTGGGCCGCACGCACGCCAGGCGAGCGCGCTACCGCCTGAGCCACATCCCCAGCCCAATTTACTATATTTTAAAGTCCTGAATAAAATGTAAAAATTTAAACGCAGACACTTATTCTCCAATCTCATTCATGCCAACTCCAACTTAATTTTATCCAAATATTCTATATACAATCTCATTAGAGGAACAAAAGTAAACACAAAAATATATTTGTGCATATTTTAAATTCATATATAAAACAAAACTGTAAAAACATAAAACAAAAAAATGAAGACTGTCTTATTAATTTTTTTCATATCTACTTTCTGATTTTATTAAGTTGGCCACTAAATATCTATTTTCAGCGCAGCTTTCCAATAAACAACATACGTAAACATAGGTGTATCAAACAGGCCATATCCGGATAACCTCCTAACAATTTAATAATGAAAAGCAAATTGGAAACTTTTGTTTAAACATTTACCTTTATCTCTACTCCCTTCCAAAATCCAATCAAAATTCTGAAAAAATAAGTTTAAGATTATAAAATCACAAGGACAAAAAGAATACAAAAGGAAACAATAATAGAGATGTCAATAAAATTTGGGGAAATGAAGCCAGGTATGGTGGAGACTGAAGCAGGAGGATCACAAATTTTAGGCCAGCCAGAAAAACTCAGTGAAACACTGTCTTAAAATTTGAAAAAGGGTTGGGGGATGTAACTCGGTGGTAGAGTGCTTGCCTAACCATACATGAAGCCCTGAGTTCAATCTCCAATACTGAAAAAAGGGGTGATAGCAGATTGTCAAGTGATAAATGACTTGTGGCAGAAGAAAGCTGCTAACTCCCCTAGATTGAAAAGAAACAAAGTATTTTGAGCATCAAAATCCCAGAAAAGCTCAGGGGCTGATTTGGGGTATGACTAAACACAGGATAACTGGTTGAATTCCTATATAAGGACTAGTTAAGATTTCCAAAAATTTCCTTACCCTGAAGACAAAAGTTTATTCTATATACAGGATTAACCTGAAGACTCTGGACAACAGGTACAGCTATGGATGGGAGTAAAGCCATATATCCCCCAAAACAGGAGAATGAAATAAAAGTCTTCACAAAAAATGTGAAATCCTACCATCCCTGTTACCATAGTGTGGGTCACATCCAGAGTTACTATACACACTGGCAAAATTTAAAGATTCTTCTTTAAGGATACCAATTAGATATCATAAAGAAGCCAATGATATAGAACTTTATGTACACAGCTGAGAAACCAGTTAAAAATCCAGATGTATTAAAGACAAAAAAAATTTTAAAAAGAAATTCTGGGGAAAAGATAACTTACGTGGAAATACAGCATTCTTTTTATTAAAAAAAAAAATCCTTTTTCTCAGAGAACTAAGACACTATATCCAACAATAGAAAACTGAGTACAAATTTTTGGAAAATAGGAAAAGAGCTCAAATATTCAAAAAAAGAGCTCCAATACTCAATATTTAATATTGAAATATTAAAAAATGATCCATAAAAATAAAGAATCTAAGAGACAGGCTAAAACAGAGAGATGGCTGAGGAAATCTAGAAAATAGAGATTGAAGGAAAGAAGCCTAAGAAAAATAGAGACGCTAGAAAGCCCAATTGTCAATTAACATAAGTTAAAAAAAGAAGAGGAAGAGGAAAACAGAGGAAAGAAAATTAAAATTACCAAACAAACAGAAAAGCAACTTGCCAAAACTGAGATCTGAGCAATGAACAATTCCTATTACAGCAACCCATCATAAAGATACTTCCTCTACCTCTTCATTTTGCAAAATCCTTATGATTTGAAGAGTTTGCTATTAAAATGGAAGCCTTAAATGTCCTTGGTTCTCTTTCTTCTCTCAGTGGTTGTTGGCTTGTCAAAGTATCCTGTTTCCCCAAATAAGCAGAATTAAAAGAGAATAGCAAAAAGGAAAAACCTATCTGCTCACTAGTCCCTTGTTTACAAGTCACTGAACAGAAGGAAGAAAGGGATGGTAAAGGAAGATGACAGCTATGAAATTTTCTATATTTTTGGGGTAGTTGTAAAATTTAAAAATTTTAATTAAATGAAAAGCCAGCATTTTTCTAATATCAACATTATAATAATGGCCTTCTGAAGTAAAAATTAGTGTTCTTTTGGATATTTAAACCTAAAGGGGAGTTATAAAATTTTTAAAAAAAAAAAAAGGCTTCTTACCTCCTTTTCTTCATGATAGTAGGAAAGAACTGGGAATCTTCCTTTGCTCCGGAACTTGGAACTACCAACAATTATTGGTTTGCTTGCTATCCGGGGAACATAAAGTTCTCTGGGGTAAGTTTCACAAATCTGTAAATATCAAACAAAACATAACTATTCTACTCACAATTCAAAAACCATAAGGTTAAAAATCCTTTAAAAACCTGCAATCTTATGAAATCAAAGAACAGCCATCAAACTGTAATACATTAAAAACTTGCTACTATGACACACTCTGCCCCTCTGGTACTAACATTTTCTGAATTCCTCTAAAAGGTTGCTAAGTTACCTTGTATTCTCGGTTGGCATCAGATAACTGCCAGTGTGAATTTGGCACTCCCATCCTCTTATATTCCTCAGCAAGGTCAATAAGTTGCCAACCTTGTAATCGTTCTGAATCATTTTGTTTTGGATTATAAGAGAATGCATACAGATCTTCATATTTTGCTATAGAATATGAAATACAAAAATGTTAAGATGCAATTTGTAAGACTTAATACCCTTTAAATAAAAATTATTTTTCAGTCTTTTCCTTCATTTTTTTCTTTGAAATCTTCAAAAAGATGGCAAAACATGAACATAACTGAACTTAATATATTTTTTCCAACTTCTGTAATGCAAATGACTATATCTAAAGGCACACATAAATTGGATCTAAGATTCAATTTATGTCTTTTATAAAAATTAATAACAACTATAGATTTTTCTAAGTCAAATGTAAAAAACACAAATAGATACTTCCTACTCATCACTTTTCCCAAATGACATGTAAAACAAAACTAATGTTGCAATGAAAAACTAGAGATGGCATGCAGACCTTGGAATTGCATTATATAGTCTCATAAAACAGTTGGACCAAAAATAACAACAGGGTTCAAGAGAGCACTTACTTCTGAACAATAAGCATGAAGTCACAGAACCACCTTTACTATAAATTCTGGCTTACCTGGGGACAATGAATGTTACAGGTTCTATGTGCTGGGACAAATGAGTAAACATAGACCTGCTCCTAGTCACTAATCCAGGATGCTCAACTAAAACCCAGTTCAACATGTAATTGAAGTAATGTGGGGGAAGGAAGCCTCCAGATCCCTGGGGCATAGCAATGATATGATGCTTCTTTAGGGTCTATATTCCTCCCAATCTTAAAACTACTAAAGTAGGATTCACACTCTCATCCCTCTCTTTTGTCTTTTCTTCCATCCCAATTTATTAAGTATTTTAGACCAATTGCTATTAGAAGACCTTGACCTTCCTTAACTTCTCATTTAGTAATACTGTCTTCAAGTAAGTCTTCTTAGTTGTGAAATACCCAATTTTAAAAATACAAAAGGTAGGGGCTGGGGATACAGCTAAATTGGTAGAGTGCTTACCTTGCATGAATAATGCCCTGGGTTCTATTCCCAGCACTACACACACACACACACACACAAAAAAAAAAAAAAAAAAAAAAACGTAGCCAGGCACAATAGCACACGCCTATAATCCCAGCAGTTTAGGAGGCTGAGGCAGGAGGATTGTTGAGTTCAAAACCAGCCTCAGCAACTTAACAAGGCCCTAAGCAACCCAGAGAACCTGTCTCTAAATACAATATAAAAAAGGGCTAGGGATATGGTTCCGTGTAAAGCACCCTTGGAGTCAATTTTCATTACCAAAACTATTTTTTTTCTTTTTTTTTTTTTTTAAAGAAAATCCTTTTTTTTTAAGAGAGAGAGGGGGGGGGAAGAATTTTAATATTTATTTTTTAGTTTTCGGTGGACACAACATCTTTGTATGTGGTGCTGAGGATCGAACTCGGGCCGAACGCATGCCAGGCGAGCGCGCTACCGCTTGAGCCACATCCCCAGCCCCCCAAAACTATTTTTAAAAAATACAAAATGTGCTACCTGCCATGAAAAGACTTAAATATATATATATATATAGCTTCTTCAGTTTATGCTATACATACTTTACTTTTTCCCTCACTATTACTTCCTCTTTGAATTCCATTTTTGCAACTCACACCAGTTATTTCTAGACTATTTTGAGGAGTTAGCATGCATAAGTACCCAAATGATAAGAGTAACTCAAAAGTATTTAAAAAAAGAGAGAGAGATCCATTAAATTATCTTGGCTAAACCCATATTATGATTTGAATATAAGGTGTCCAAAAAGGCTCTTATGCTAATGCAGAAATGTTCAGAGGTGAAATGATTAGATTACAAATGCTGTGACCTGATCAGTGGATTAATCCATTTGATGGATTAATTTGAAAGGACTACTTTTACTGGGTGATAACTGTTTGGCAAATGGGGTGTGGCTAGAAGAAGTAGTTCCCTGGGGACATGCCCTTGGGGATTATACTTAGTCCCCCTGGCTTCTCCTTTACTCTTTCTCTGATTTCCAGCCACCATGAGCTGTGCCATTCTGCCATGATGCTCTGCCTCACCTCCAGAGTCAGCCAACCATAAATTGATTCTCTAAAATAAACTTTTTCTCCTCTAAGTTGTTTTGGTCAGGTATTTTTGTCACAATGATGAAAAGCTGACTAACACAACCTATCTCAAATTGAGCATGTAAGCTTTGGTCTCTAAGAACAATACCTTGTTTTGATAGTTGTAGCAAAGAGTTATAAATATCATGGCAATCTCTTTCTCTGGGAACAATAAAATGCACGATCCTGAAGTTCTTGCACTGAATCACAAGTGGGCATCCAGAAGTAGTCAAGGCAAGTTTCTCTACTGAGGCAATATGGTGGTGTAATATCTATGGCATGAAAAAAGATTCAATTTATCAATACAGGAAACGCTAAGTACTTATTCTCTTCCATAAATGTTAGGAATGTCTTTCTCAAATAAAATATCAAATATGCTACACATCAAACAAAATTTTAAAATGACTGAATACCCAAGTCAGGAATATATGTGTCTTCCTGATACCTTCTCATCTATCCCAATAAATGTTTACTGAGTGAATGAATATAAAGACCCACTATAAACTCAATACTTGATGGCATTTTGAACATATGATCATCATTCTCACCTGCAAACAATATTTTGTTTGCTACTAAAAAGTCTTTTTTCTCAATATCATTTCTATTAACTTAAAATGTTTATAGAAAATCCTTCTGAAGAACAAAAGTCTTAAGTTCCAAAATTCAACTATGGCAAGAGATCAATTTATCCAAAATTATCAATTTATCCCAAAAAATTCCACCCTGTTTTTATGTGTGTATTACAAGGTAAAGGACAAAAAAAATTATTTATATGTTTATTTACTAATTATTTATTAAATCTGAAGTTGACATGTAAGATTAAATGAATATAAGTAATCAAGAAAAGCCTAAGTATAAAAATTTAAACTACATATAGTAAGGATTATTAATATATGTAGCCCATACTTGTAGCTAAGATTAAGCACATTAACATTTATATTATTATACGTTACTTGAAATGATCTAATAATAACAGAATCTATATAGAAAATAAAGGAAAATAAACTTAATATCATACCACTATTATGATTGCAATAAAGATGCAAATGTATTTGCAGAATTATGAGGACCAGGCTCTACCTAGTTATGTAACTTTGAAAAAAAATCATCATCTGTAAAATGATAACAAGGAAAAAAGGCTGATAAGACTCCTTCTAGAATTAAAATAATCATTTACATGAATATAGCATACTAACAGACTTCACTTCAGAGAAACAGCATTTTTAAGACAATAGTAGAAAGAAAGAAAACAACAATCTTTTTGCTGCCCCCTAAACTACATTCCCAACATCTGAAGAAACAGCTGCAGGAACAACATATTGATACTGTGTAGGAATTACCTATCCATATTTCATTTATTTCTCTAGGCGATGGAGTACATATACAGAAGATATTGAGACAGGTGAATAAAGAGGAGGTAGAGTGGATAATATAAGAAATGATTTTACAAGGCTCTGTGAGGCAAAATTCCTGGCAGTTCTTGTTCAAGTAACAGGTAGGGAAGGGGTCCAGTGCTTCTAGAGAATATAGCTTCTCTGGGGTAAGCACCTTAACTTGATACAATCATATGTCAACTGGATGGCCTTCCTGGGAATATAAAGAATATATATAGAGAGAAGCCAACATGTGCTATAAGGGATGCACCCCAGGGCAACATGGTGCCCTGCACTGGGAGACAAAATCAGCCTCTAATCTTGATGCTATTGCTTAAAAACATAAGAAAAGCAGCTACAATTTCCTGAGGCCCTTCTATGCTTTAGGCCAGAAGCTTTTCCTGTTTTCTCTCATACAAGATTCACAAAGCCCTACATGATATCTGATAGTATATCTATTTTATGGGGGTACTAAACTTGAAGTCACATTTTGGCAGATACTATGGGTCTGTCATTCCTCTCAACCAACCTTCCTTCCTGGCAATACCCATCTTCCTCAGGAGATTAAAAATGCCAGAAATCTGTGTTCTCTACCTTCTATGCAAGCAGCACTCTCCAAGTGTTCCAATTTTCTAACAATTTGTTAGGAAAAGTCAGCAGGGAAGCATGGGAAGGGGGCGAGAAGGAAGCCCAGATAAAGGGAGGGGAAGGTACTGAGGAGTCTACCTTCTGCTTTGAAAGGTTTGGTGCCACTTCAGCCTTACAGTCACGGACTTAAACAGAAAGCCCCCGATATACTAACCCAAGTAGTAAGCAGTACAATTGAGATTTGAACCCAAAGTTCCCTGACTGCATTGCCTAAGTTCCATTTACAATTTTGAGTTGCCTATGTGACACTGAACAAATCACTGCTTCCCTGAGATTCTTCATTTATAAAATCGAGAGTTTAAAATCTGGCATAGCCATTGTGGCACAGAAACATACCCAAGTCTCTCCCTGTGAAGCACACAGACACAAAACCACACCTTATTTCTCTTTCTTATGTCTTATTTAGTAATACTTATCACTATACATAGTACTTATTTATCCTATTTATTATTTGTTTCTCCCAATTAGAAAGTGAGCTCTTTCAGGACAGAATTTATATCTGTTATTACTGGCTATTCTTTCCATAATACCTAGAATAGTGATATAAAAACATATAGTGTTTAATAAATGTGTGCTAAATGAGTGAATAAATAAAGGGAAGAACAAAACAGTCATAATAAACATGGAGAATAAGTTGAGAAGATGTGCTTTACTACATCTCAAAACTTATTATTAAGAAGCAAGTCAACAAACCAGTATGGTACTGGTATAGTTGTAGTCAATATGTCAAAAAAATAGAAGAGAACAAACCTTCACATATACAGAAGCTTTATTTATGACTGTTTACTTTAAAGACCAAGGGAAGGAAATGGTCAATAAATGATGTCAGTTGTTCATATGAAGAAATGAAAATCCCTATGTCATACCATAAGCCAAAATATTTCCCAGATGTACTACAACTTGTATGTAAAGTTTTTAGAAGAATTTAAGGCTGGGGTTGTAGCCTAGAGGTAGAGTACTTGCCTAGCACGTATGAGGCACTGGGTTCGATTCTCAGCACCACATATGAATAAAATAAAAGTCCATCAACAATTAAAAAAATATTTTAAAAAAAGCTTTTAGAAGAAATTATTAAAGAATCTTTACAACCATTTAAAAAATGGAAAACCTGTAACATTACAAATTGAAACTTTAATTCAAAGACATATACACAAAAAAACACATAAAAGACAAGCCACACACTGGGAGGAGCTAAGGATGATGATTCATGTATCTGACAAAGCATTAAAATCCAGGACTCCTTTAAAATAAAAGACAAACAATCCAACAGAAAAAAAGAAAACCCAATGACCAAAATATTTGAAAAGATAACTTTTTCCAATCAGCAATTTAACATCACAATGGTATAATGAACAGGACAGGCAAAAATCTTTGAGTTGACAATATCAAATGTAGGATGCAGAAAATGTGTAACACTATAGTGAGAATATAAATTGGAACAGCTATATTGAAGAGGTGACATTCTTAAATATGTGCTTATTCAAGATCCAGCATGTTACTCCCAGGCAAATACCCCAAGGAAATTCTGGCACATATAAAAGGAAGAAATGCACACAAGATGTTTGTACAGTTGACCCTTCAATAACACAGAAGTTGGGGGCACTGACACCCCCTTCCTAGTCAAAAGCCCATAATTAACTTTTGACTCCCCCCAAACTTTGCTAATAGCCTGCTGCTGACCAGAGCCCTACATACAACATAAAATGTTGACTAATACCTATTTATATATTATACATTATATACAGTAAAAACATGAGAACCATGAGAGATCAATAATACAATGCAATTTCCTAGAAAGAAACCACAACTGTTTATGATCAGTGTCCCAGAGTTTAAAGTGGATACTAACTACACTTGAGCAACAGGAGGTAGCTATGAAATTACTACAGTATTACGGTATACACTACCTTAATTTCATACAGTTATGATTTAATACTGAATCTTTATATTTTTCTTGAATGTAAGTGGTACCATGTATGGCCTATAAGTGTTTGCAGTGTAAGTTTTGATAAGTGTTAACTTTTTGTAACAGAATTTGTGTAATTTTTTTTTAAGAGAGAGAGACAGAGAATTTTTAAATATTTATTTTTTAGTTTTCAGTGGACACAACATCTTTATTTTATTTTTACATGGTGCTGAGGATTGAACCCAGCGACCCAAGTATGCCAGGCAAGCGCGCTACGGCTTGAGCCACATTCCCAGCCCCATTGTGTAATTATTTTTTTTCCTTGGGAATTGAATTCAGGGCCACTCTACTACTGAGCAACATCCCCAGCCCTTTTTAATATTTGTTTTCAGTCAGAGTTGGGCTAAGTAGCCAAAGCTGGCCTTGAATTTGCAATCCACCTGCCTCAGCCTCTAGGATTATAGGTGTGTGCCACTGTGCCTGAAGAATTTGTGTATATTTTGTAGTAGTAAATGACAGACTATTATCTACATATATTTTATGCATCCATGACATATCTAATTTTTCTTAATTTTTATGCTACATAGTTTGAATGTTTTCTCAGACTGTTGCAAAAGGAAGAATAGGCATAGGAATGGACCTGTAAAGTTCAAACCCAACATGTTGTTCAAGGGTCAACTGCACATTATATGCATATACACATTTTCAAGTATATACTTTTTGAAAGTATACATGCTACATATAAACTTATACTTGAAAACGTACATACTTATATAAATATATGTATACTACAATATTTATACTAACAAAACAAAATTAAATACCCTAATTGTAATATGGTATAAAAATATTGTGAAATATACCAAATAATTCATTTGATCTGTTAACATATACATACATTATTTAGCTTTTTTTAAATTAAAAGGAACAAATAGATATTTTTAAATTATTTAGAGAGTTAGAGAGTTTGGTATTCTACAGATATAATAGATACATGATATCTATATACCTGATACAGATGGGAGCATAGGATGAAAACACCAAAATTCCAGGTTAAGTAACCAATAATTAAAAATTATATGTATTCAAAACAACACAGTAATAGCCATAGTTCATGGTTCTGCTGTGGTCCTTCTTACCCAGGTTTCTTTTTGATGAGAGTCTATAAATAATAGATGTGTGGCCGTAAGATAGAGTGTTCCTGTTAATGACTTGTTGCCGGTACTGAATCGATCAAGCAATTTTACTTGTTCAACCTGAGAAAAGAAAAGGATGTTATTTTCACTTCAAAAAGTAGTATAGGGGCTGGGGATGTGGCTCAGCAGTACAGCACCTGCCTCAGCACCACATAAAAATAAATAAATAAACAAAATAAAGGTATGTGTCCATCTACAACTAAAAAATATATATTTAAAAAAGTAGTATAAATAATATTTTTTGTTCCAGGGACTAACAAGCATCATTTTCAATTGTTTCCTCCTTCTGTCCAAAAAAAAAAAAGAGTTCATTTAATATTAAGTTTCATCAATGTTAAGTTTCATCAATCTTTTGGAGGAAAACACATACACCACAAACCACATTAAGTATTATCTGGTTGCAAATGTAACCAACAGGGAATAGGTTGTAAAAAAAAAACATTAACATTTATATTGAGAGGAACAAGAAAAAGGAGTGCAGTATAAATAAGCAAGAATATTTTTCATAATCAAGGGTCCATTTTATCTGAAATAGAAAAACATCAATCAGGTATATATAATCAAGTATATAAAATATTATATCTAGAATTCTAGAAGTAAACTCATAGGGAAATTAAATCAGGAAACAATTAAATGTTTACAAACTCTAGCTTAGTCTCTCTGTTCCCCCCATACCAGAACAATGGTGGTTTTGTGTCCAGCTCTTAGTTTTTTACTCACACTGTGTCATTTCCTATATGGGTCTCCTCTCTTAGCTGAGTACTAAGCATTATTCAAGGTTCACTGATACTGATGCTCTGCCTCCTAACAAGAATTTTCCTTAAAAAACTAATGTGTTACTGATGTCTTAGCTTTTCTTTTTTATAGCTCTGAATTCCCTTGCACAGATTATGTCCTGTGCTGTGTCAGCCTCCTGTACTACCTAAGACAGTCAGGTATACAGTATGACAGTATGTCTTAAGTACACACATACAATTGTCACCATAGGAGAAAGTGGGATTAAGATTAATTAGGAATTCTGAAGGAGACTACTGCTGCTTTGAAATTTAAAGTTATCCACCCTTATGGGGAAAAAAGTGAAATAATAATTATTCAACTTAAAAACTTCAATCTATCGCTAAAGCAGTAGGTTATAGATATTCCTTTAAATTGTGTAGATCTTCAAAACCAGACAGTTAATCATTATCTCAAATGAAATTATTTATTTCCAAGGTAATCAATAACCAGCACTTAAAAGGCTAATTAGCTTCAGCCTTTCTTCCAGAATTTTGTTTCCATGGAAAGCCTGCTTATAATAGCATTTGTTCAAATAAGTTAAAATTTAAACTTGAAGATTATTAAATTTGTTTTTGATGCAAAATTTTATTTACACAGTTAAGGTAATAAATTTAGTTTGAATATTCTCCTCTGAAAACTTAGATATATGATCTAATTTATAAAACTCAGGTCTGACAGTTGATTTGATATACAAAAACTGTCAACCTGATTTGATATACAAAAACTGTCTAATTATTATACACTGATATTTAGGAAAACAGAAAGATCTGTCAAGTCCTGGGTTCAATGCCCAGAAATGCAAAAAAAAAAAAAAAAAAAAAAAGGGCTGGGGTCGTGGCTTAGTGGTAGTCAGCTTGCCTTGCATGTGTGAGGCACTGGGTTCAATTCTCAGTACCACGTATAAATAAATGAATAAAATAAAGGTCCATCAACACCTAAACATATATACAAATTAAATTTAAATTTACAAAATTAAATTTAAAAAATTTTTTAAATAAAATAAATTTTTAAAAACCAACAAAAAGGAAGGCTTCCTACTAACCTGAATAAAGATTTCTTCTCTTCGAGGTTAAGACTTATTTCATTGTTTAGGGACCATTTCTCCATAAAGTAAATATCTAACATCACTATGTCATACATTGTGAATCAAAACTTAAACATCTTTTAACACAAATGGGATCAACAATTATATGTTCTTCTCCAACTGTGCTAGACTTGGCTGGAAAGGGCACTTAGGCAAACAATAGCAATTATAATTCCACAACATAACTCTCAACCTTATTTCCTTAAGCTAAAAAAAAAAAAAAGTGTTATGGGCTATATAAAGGGAAATTAAGAACAAACATGAAAATAACAGTTATCATAAAGTATTGACACTACTCAAGCTAACAATGTGTGCCAAACATCTTTTAGCACTTCAAATAGGTACCCAACTTAGACAAAATAAAAAAGTATACTGGAGGGCTAGGGTTGTGGCTCAGTAGTAGAGTGCTTGCCTTGCGTGCGAGACACTAGGTTCAATTCTCAGCACCACATATAAATAAATGAATAAAATAAAGGTCCATCAACAACTAAAAAAAAAAATTTTAAAGTATATTGGCAACTAGTTTTAAAAGGGAGTTTACTAAAAATAAATAAATTTAAAAGAAAGTTTATTAATGAAACGGGAAAGTTTACTTTAAAAAGAAATACATGTCAGGCTGGGGCTGAGGCTCAGAGGCAGAGCACTTGCTTAGCATGCGTGAGGCACTAGGTTTGATCCTCAGAACCACATAAAGTAATATAAAGACATGTGTCCACCTATAACTAAAAAGTAAATATTGAAAAACCAAAAGAAGAAGTACATGTGAACCGGGCGCAGTAGTGCTTACATGTAATCCCAGTGGCTAGAGAGGCTGAGGCAAGAGGATTCCAAGTTCAAAGCCAGCCTTGGCAATTTAGCAAGGCTCTAAGCAACTTGGTGAGACCCTGTCTCAAAATTTAAAAAAAAAAAAAAAATTAAAAAGGGCCTGAGGATGTGGCTCAGTGGTTGACCAAACCTGGGTTCAAATCCTGGTATAAAAAAAAAATCTATGTGAAGTTTTTCGTTTTTGGATTTTTAAAAGATAATAACATTTCTCCAATCAGAAGCCTAAAATGGAAGACAATCATACTACTTTTCATGGATTTTTTTAATCCTCCCTGTCCATTCCCTATTTATTACTATTTTCCCTCAATGATCATTCTCCATAATGTCACTGACATTATTTTAGCCATCTGTTAATGACTCCCCAAACTATATGTCAAACTGATCTCTCCTGAGTTTACACTGTCTCCCTACGCATGTAATAGCAATTCCTGACATTATCGAGAGCTTATTATGTGCCCAGAATCCTAATAGGAATTTAATGTACATTATTTCTTTTCTTTTTCACAAATTCTACGTGGTGGGTACCATTAGTACTCCCATTCAGCTAGTAGAAGCTAGGAACTGGGATAGCAATTACAACCTTATGTTGTCTAATTCCTGAGCTGGACCGCCTTCCCTGAGGCTATACTGCCTCCACTTGGATGTCTCAAGAATAATATTAAACACACTAAAAACAGAACTGATTTCCCCTCTCACCCCTCAAAAATATGATCCTAATTCTGTATTTGGGTGTAAGTTATGTTATTCTATCCTTATCAAGTCACTCACACTGGAAATCTGGAAAGCATCCTGAATTCTTGACTCATGATATTCACTAATTCCTACAAATTTCATCACCTAAATACTTCAAAATCAGCTCCTTCCACTACTATTAAAATAAGTGCTAAGTTAGAATGAAAGCATCTGTTCATAGGTCTGTCCTTCCCACTAAAAACCAAAATATATTACAGGGTGAGGACTGACTCTTAATGGCTAGAACAGTGTTTGACATAGTAAGTGTTGAACCAAGATGAACTGCCTCAGAGGAAATATTTCCCAAAGGGAAATAAGAAAGAGTCACATAATAAGCTCTCAATAATGTCAGGAATTGCCATTACATGCGTAGGGAGACAGTGTACTGTCATGTGTAACTAATTAAAACAAATTAAAAAATTAAAATTTAAAAAAATAATAAAATAAATTATATTCCATGCATGTATGTTTATGTCAAAATGAACCCCAATATTATGTATAACTATAATGCACTAATAAAAAACATAAAAATAAAAAATAAACAATACTTCCTTCACTAATAGAAACAGAAAGAAAATACAAAATTCTCAATAGAGATAAAGCATTTATATTTCAATATGTGAGGAATAGCATTTTACCAGATGAGAGAAAAGTATTAATGTAGAGCCTGTGCTGTAGATAAAAGGATATAAATAGAGGTCATTAAGCACTGTACTACAGAACAGATATGGTTTTGAAAATCATTCCAGAATCACTGTGGAGAAAATGCTGGATTGGGTAGGGGTAACCAGGTAAGAGGTTAATGAAGCAATCTAGGGGTGGTCAGGAGAAATATTAGGGTTCTGGAGTAAGCTGTGACAAGAAAAGAACAGTCTCAGACTAATAATGTAACAAAACAAATGTGAAAAGGAGGAAGGAGATAAAGGAGAAATAAAGATATAAAGACTTTAAACTTATCAGGTTGGTTACCATTCATTAATATCAGGCACAGAGAAATAAAAATAAGTCTGAGCAAAAAGTGTATCTGACTAATAAGCTGAGGATTATTTATAACCTTACTAAATGCAAAATCAAACTCAAATTAAGAAAATAGTAGAAATTCATTACATGTAAGTGCTTCAGTATAGCAATAGGCAAATGGATGTTACAGATACTAAAATTAATCTGAAATTATTCCAAAACATTTATTTAGTATTTAAAGTTCTGAAGAAAATAAGTTTTGAGAAAATATGCTAATTATTCTGCTATTTGCTGCAAACCCTCCTCCAAAAGAGAGAAACTTGGATCTTTTTCATTGCTAAAATATCAGCATACAAATTTCAGCCTATAGATTTAGTCAATTTTTAAAACAACTGCTTTTTTATATTTCTCTTTTTCACCAAAGAATGAAATGGAGGTCCTGGAGTATGAATTAGAACAAGATATATTCCATGCTTGTGTAATTTGTCAAAATGGATTCTACTGTCATGTATAACTAAAGAAGAAACAATTAAAAAAAAAGAAAATGGGCTGGGGATGTGGCTCAAGCAGTAGCGTGCTCGCCTAGCATGCATGCAGCCTGGGTTCGATCCTCAGCACCACATACAAAGAAAGATGTTGTGTCCGCCGAAAACTAAAAAATAAATATTAAAAAATTCTCTCTCTCTCTATCTCTCTCTTTAAAAAAAAAAGGAAATGTATTTTACAGATGTGGCTGTAGATTACCCACAGGCTTTTCTTAGAAATGTTTTAAGGGACATGTTTAAGAAGCAACTACAACTCCTTCAGGTCACCACCACTGAGGCACTAGGAAAATAGTGATAGGATCCTTAAAAAGGCAAAACTTAAATGGGGAAGGTAGAAAAGACTTCCGGGAAAAGAGTAAATGAAAAACAATGGGGCAAGAAGAAAGATTTTATACTGGAACTGGAGGATGTGGTCACTTTAGTGAGGGATAATAAATGCCAACACATGTATTACTTTAAGGATTATTTAGTTCAAACTATATAGGCTTTCACTAAAAGATCTTCACTGAATAGTCTATATAGGAACTTCAAATTTCAGCTGTATACAAAACTGGAAATAGAAAACATATGAAATCATACATATACAAAATCACATCAGAAATTCAGACACCTGGTTATCTCTACTGGGACAGGAAGCGATCGATGGCTTTCTTTTATCTAACTTCTCTGATCAACAGCTGCTAACTCTACAACTACATGATATGTGGAGTGAATCCCAAGCAGAAAATAGGCCTGATATCAGAAAGACCTGAATTTAAGAACCAAGCTCCAGTAATCTCCCTGGCTAGCTAGCTCCCAGATAGCTATGTGAGCCAGGACAACTTATTTTACGTTATTCAATCTCTATAAACTTTCAGTTTTCTCACCTGTAAAATGAGATAATGTTAGTGACAGTCAAAATAGCACACCACTTGGAGAAAAGTGTTCAGGTACTCCTCAAAACTTTTGCTCTTATTACAACAATAATTTAAATAATGATAGTTTTTCCTTATTTTAATTTTGTATCTCCTTCACTCTTTGTAACAGATAACATATATTTATATATTTCTACACATATACACGTATGCTCTCACATTCTAATGGCAATAAGAAGGATCGAGCTAAAGAATAAGTTGGGCATTACTTTTGGAATTTGAGCCCCAGTAAGATCAGACTTGGAGGGACAAATCTGAATTCTATAACAAGCCCTAAAAAGCCCTACTTTCATTGAGTTCTTATTCACAGATGGTATAATATCATTCAAAATCAATATATGATGTCAACCAAAGTACTGGAGCCTAGCAGGCAAAGGATACTGCCTTTGCATATTTTTCATTATGATTAGCAGAATCACCTGATTACGGCAAAATTAGAGCTCAAAGTCAGTGACAGGCAGTAGCTACAGTGTTCCTAAGTATAACCTGGAAATGCCCTTTTGGAAATTCAAATTCAGGGACTTAACATATTTATTGACCTCATAAAATCAGTAAACTAAATTTGACCAAAACAGGATGATATATCTGTTCCTGAGAAAGCCATTTAATTAGTACTCAGCTAAAATACTAATCTCTAGTTAGTGGTCCATAAAAAATTTATTCTAAACAATAAAAATAATAATATATAAATATTACTTATGATAAGAACAGATTTGGGAAAGAAAACTTTTAGAATTATAATCTGTATTTACTTTTAAATTAATACAAATTTAACAATTGGCTTCAAACTAAAGAGACAATAAAAAAAGCATACATAGTCTTTGGAGTTAACAAACTCTAGTTTAAAACTACTCCTCATGAGCTATTTGGGCAGGTTATGCAAACTCTCTAAGACTATTTCTTCCTCCTCTGTAAATGGAGATAATGAAATCCAATGGACAGGGTTATACGCTATCTAAACAAAATAAATTACTAAGTAGTTATATAGTACCACAGTTATAGTGACTAATCTATATAAGGGTTTTTTTAAAAAAAAAAAAAGCTAATAAACCTAATACAATCAATTTTTCATTGTGAAATACTTACAGTTATTTTGCAGCAAATTAACTATGTCCATGTGGAGGCTATGCATAATGGAAACAAAAAGTTGGCTATGTTCAAATCAATTTTTAAGAACAAGTTATTTTCACAATAGGCTAATGATTTTTAAAAAAATAGTCTATACAATAGTTATCAGAACGTATTAGGAGGTCCAATCTATCTTGCTACTATATGTCCAGTATCTGTGCAGTGCCTGACACAAAATAGGTGTTTAACAAATATTTGTTTAATTGAAGTCTACCACGCCCATTTAATTCTACGGTAATAATCCAATGCTATAAAAATGATATAATGTAGGGCTGGGATTATAGCTCAGTGGTAGAGTGCTTGCCTAGCATGTGTGAGGCACTGGGTTCAATCCTCAGTACCACATATAAATAAATAAAATAAAGGTCCATCAACAACTAAAAAATATATGTATTTATATATATATATATGTACACACATATATATATACATAAATATATATAAATTTCTTAAATGGCACAATGTAGTAAAGGAACACATGAGAAGTAATTTTAATAGAAAATTAGTCAGAAATCTCTCCATATTTAAAAAACATAAAGGAGCTTTACTAAACTACCAGCATGGACCCACTGTGAAAAGATAAAACTAAATCAGAACATAAATTGGAGAACAGTCCATCAATGGTAAAAATGAAACATGAGGCTCAATGAAAGTCACTAGCAACAATCTTCAAGGAGATAGTAAAACTGGTTATAGCAATACAAATAAAAACAGAGATATATGTTCATCATAAATTGAAGGAGAAAAAATTAAAAATAACAAAGGGTCCTAAAGATTTTTCAACAGTGTTTACTCTTATCATTCACTTAAAAGTAGGGTTTGTGGGCTGGGGATGTGGCTCAAGTGCTAGCGCGCTCGCCTGGCATGTGTGCGGCCCGGGTTCGATCCTCAGCACCACATACCAACAAAGATGTTGTGTCCGCCGAAAACTAAAAAATAAATATTAAAAAAAAAATTCTCTCTCTCTCTCACTCTCACTCTCTCTTAAAAAAAAAAAAAGTAGGGTTTGTTTTAGTTGATTAGACTCAGTTCACTTTGACTGGTTTTCTATTGTGTGCTATGCACTGTGGTAAGTATCTAAAACATGCAAAGATGAGGTTCAAATTAGTGTAGAAAGAAGTCACATGCCAAAAGCCCACATCTGGAACCCTCTAACCAGGCAGGACAAGATCCTGATCGAATGTCTACTCTAATCCCCTTTTCCACGGGTACATCTTCTGTAAGCTTGGTTATTTAGTCTGTCACCCTTCTACTTTCAAACTTTAACTGCCAACAAGTTGAATTTTTTAGCTACTATATCTTTTTTCTCTTTAAAAAAAATTTTTTTAAATCTATGTGCACCTTAAAAAGGGCTGTGAAACATTTTAAAGATAAAGATCTCAAATTCTCCTTATCCCAGTAATGATAACACAGATTTACTTGTTCATAAATGAGCTGTAACTTTTTAAGATGAGCAGCAACTGACTGATGATTTCTGCTCTGGCAAACATAGAGTCTGCTTTCACAAAAGGCCCTTCTAATAAATAATTTAAAAAATGACAGACTGCCCATGATCTTAATTTGTTACTCAGTTCTGATCTCAGTCTGTTTTTCCCCCTCCAGAAGTTGAAGTTTGCTTTAAATGTTGTTGAAAAAATGATTTGGTAATATTCTGATACCATTTCCTTTCAGCTTTACTCTTGTAACAGAATCATAAAAATACTTACTCATGCACAAATCTCTTGCAAATAAAAACGAAGTATAGGATTTAATAAACAATAATCTCAATTGAAGAAAGTTCCATTCAACCTTTTGAAATATTATACAACACTTTAACCTTCTGAATAATTTCTCGTTAAACTCACTATTGACCCTAAGAACAATGCCTACAATTTGAAGCACAGACACAAAAACACTGGAGACAGACAAGAAAGTAAGGCGGATTTGGACTCTTCCAAACTTGCATCATGAATCTGTGACACGGGACAATGAAACGTTAAGGGCTATACCTTACAAAGCTTAGTAATGGTAATTTGGGAACCCACCAGTTTTTCGGTACGTAAGGGGGAGAATGGCTGAATACCCCAAAGTTAGAGCAGCCCCAATTTTTGCCCAAGAAAATATAGAGCTAAGGGGGCGGCAAGCAATTTTCCAGGACTTAGCCCCCCACCAAAGCACCCGGAGCTCCTAAGAGACCCTGCGTCCAAAAGTACAGGCCTCCACGAAGCGCCCACTTAGCCGAAACTGACTTTGCAGTGGCAGACCAGGCCCCGCCAAGCCCTCCCACCCAAGACAGGCCCCCCGCCCCTCCGGTCCCCAGCCCTGCTAGGGCCAACAGAGCCTTCGTCGCCTTCCGCCTCCGCTAAGTGAGACCTAGGCCAGTGGCTAATGGCTTTCCCGCGCCAGACTACCTTGGTCGTACGAATGTGCTCCATTCTGAGGAACGTCTGTCGGCAGCCGGCCTCACAGGCGTACCATGTAGCGAAGGCACCGGACGGCGACAGCGACTCTGAGCCAGGGGGAACTCCCTCAACCGGCCAGCGCCTATGTCCGTCAGGCCGCCCCCGAGAGCGTCAACCGCGCAGGCGCAGTCGGCAAGCTCGGTCTCCTAGAAACACTTCCCAAACGCCGAGGCCACCGAGAGGGCACAGCTGGATGGGTAGAGCGTCCACCGACGGAGGGCAGCATCTTGGCCCTTCCTGGGCCGCTGTTAACTCCACAGCGCCCTCAGACAGGGGATGACACCAAGCCCTTTGGGGCAGTCCTTTGACTGGCAGCTAGACTAGAACCCGCAGGGTCTAGCGCTGGGAGGTGAGAAGACTCATCTGGATTTAAAAACGGATCCTCAGTTAAGTTGCACTTGGAGCGTGAGGGCACATGCTGGATGTCTGTGAAGTTCTTCACGGTGCCAGTGGACAGCGTCAGATTAAGATGATTTTACTTTAGGAATTTATTCTAAAGAAATAAATTTACTCTAACCTTATTTAAAACAATTATATTCTCTAATACTACAGGATTCATTTGTAAAACATGGTGCATTCATTCAGTGTCAGGACATTACATAACAAAAATGTTGATGTTGCATTAGCGAGGGAAAAGAGGTAGCTACAGTACAATATGTTCAAGGTGACATGTTTTATAATTTTTATTATGTTAAGCAAAAAGTTTATATTTCTAGATGGTAGAATTAGAGGAGTTTTTGTAATTCCTTTAATGCAGTAGTTGGTCTGGAGCATTTTCTCATTTTATCCCCGAGGATCTTGGTGAGATCTGAAGATATTTTTAGTTTTCCTGGCTATGGATAAGGAAAAATGCTACTAGTATCTAGTGGGTCCTGGTCAGATCTGCTGCTGAACATCCTACAATACCCCAGACCAGCCTACACAACAGAGGTATCTGCCCAAAATGTCAGCAGTGCAGAGGCAAAGAATTTCTGCTCCATATTTTTTAAGTGTTCCGTTCTGAACAGTTTCACATTTTTAATTAGAAAAAAAAAATTTTTTTTTAAGGTTAGGTAGGAGCTAGGGGTGTAGCCCAATAGTAGAAATATGTGCCTAGCCTTGTGAAGCCCTTGTTCAATTCCCAGCATCAAAAGGGAAGGGGTTAGGGAGAAAAATAAACAATCTTTCTTACTGTAATTGGTACGATAAAGGCCTAACATCTGACTATTCTTTTCTAAGTAAAAATTTTTTTTATTTCATTTTATTCAAGTTATCATGGTGATTTTAGTGCCTAGTATTTTTCAAATACATTGACAATGCAACAGAAATGCTTATTTTTCACAACAGTATTTGTGGTGGAGTTGCTGACCCCTGCAAGGTGAATCTGTAATAAGATCAAACCACCTAAACCAACCTTGGTATAGTTTCACATCCAAAACATACACAATTCCTTCTCTGAAAAAAAAAAAGTTAGAAAACAATGTAGGTCTTTACACAAGATCATTTGAGAAAACAGAGGTAAATTATATCATATAACAAACAAGACTTTCTTAACATAACCACTTTTTATTTTATTTTATTTTATTTTTTAAAGAGAGAGTGAGAGGAGAGAGAGAGAGAGAGAGAGAGAGAGAGAGAGAGAGAGAGAATTTTTAATATTTATTTTTTAGTTCTCGGCGGACACAACATCTTTGTTGGTATGTGGTGCTGAGGATCGAACCCGGGCCGCACGCATGCCAGGCGAGCGCGCTACCGCTTGAGCCACATCCCCAGCCCATAACCACTTTTTATATCATTTTCCCTCAAAATCTTATCTCACCCTTTTCCTATTCCCATACAACTCATCCATCCCCTTCTCATTTCTTGACATTTGTCATTTCCTCTCTTACCAAATCTCACAGAGTGAAAATCATAAGGATGTTAGCTACCGTTTACCAAGAGATGGTCTGGTGACAGAGTACTAAAGGCTTTACCTATATTACAAGGAAAATACTATTATTTGCCTCATTTCAAAGAAGAGAAAAATGAAACATGATGATGTAACTTACTCATTATCGCACAGCAGATAATAAATCTTGATAATAAAACCAGACAGTCTGACTCCAGAGTATGTATTCTTAACAACTATTTTATATCGATTCACTTTTCAAAATCCATATTAAAGTTTCATTTATGGTAATATGATACAGTAGAAAATATCCTGATTTAAAAAAATAATAATGAATATAAAATCAAATTCTATAAAGCATCAGGTAACTGGCAAGATAATGAGAACTTAGAAATGCAAAATATAAAGAGTATGTATACCCAGAAAGGTAAGCAGGACATTGAAGTTAATGCTGCAAGAGGGCCACTGCAAAGTCAGACCAATTTTTATCTGTTTCGTTGTCCTCTCAACACAAAGTTCAGAACACAAAGCCTATAGCCCATTTCAGATGGGAAACCCAATGGGAGACATTCCCTACATAAATTCAGAGCCAGAAGGAAAAAAACAATCCAACCACCAAGACTGTGAGAAAATTTGCTTTGATTTTGAGAAAAAGTCCTGGAATTACTCACTGTCTTGGAAATATTATAGCCACGAGGAGATCATTGGACATATTTATACCTTAGATTCATATCACCTATGTGATCCAAAAGCCTCTGGGAATATACTTTAAAGTGGTTGAAATTAGTAATGCCTGGAACTTTATTGTTATAAACACAAAACCCTTTAGGTAGATCATACTCCTATAATAGGCCCCAAACAATTTCTACAATTAGTTTCTCACTGAAAATTAAAATAAAGTCACAATAAAAATAACTAGCACACAGAGAAATAATTGTCAAGATAGCTGGCAGGGACGATATAATGACAATCAGAGATTTTGTAATTATGAGATTTAATTTAGAAAACAACAATGTTCCCGGGCGCTGTGGCACATGCCTGTAATCCCAGCAGCACAGTAGGCTGAGGCAGGAGGATCACAAGTTCAAAGCCAGCCTCAGCAACTTACCAACTCAACATATTCCCAATCAATGTCCTAATAGGCCTAGCAAATGTTTATACTATAGTGAGGGAAGTTAGCAGTACATGTGTGTTATATATGTCTGATAAACTAATTCTATTGATTATAATTCTAATATATAGTTGAGGAAGAAAAGAAGGCAAGTTTTGTTGAAAGCAATATCAAGATTCATTATAAATATAACTTAGATAGTATATTGTAAGAATAGGCAAATAGGCTTCCAGGAACGGGTTGATTTATAAGAAATATCATATTTTGGATCAATGAGATGGAGATACTATTTTCAATAAATGGTGCTGAGATAATTTGGAATCTATGTGTGGAAAAAAATAAAATACGATCTTTACTCCCAACTATGCATTTCTATGTTGAGAAAAGACCCAAATATGAAAAGTAGAACAATAAAAATTTTGGCAGATATGTGAGAATATACTTGTCACCATTCTAGAGAAGAATATTTAAAACAGGGTGTAAAAATTAGAGATAATAAATTGAATTTTAGATCACAAGTTTCTGTCCCTCAAAAAAAAAAAAGAATATAACAGTAAAGCAGTTATAAGGTAAAACATTTTTAGCACAAATAATATATAAACTATCCATTTCAGAATGTATAAATTCCTATTTACCAATCAATTAGAAAAAGACAACAACTCAACAGAAAAATAGGTAAAACATTCAAACAGGGGCTTCACAAAAAAAGATATCCAAAACTCCAATATATGTAATCTAAAAGTATTTAACTTTATTATGAATCAGGAAATAAAAAAAGTTTGACAGTAAGAGGTATTGGCAAGGGTAAGTAACAACATGGACTACCAGACATTATAAAATTTATCGTCATATAATAAAGTTGAACATGCACACAGCCTAAGAGCTAGCAACCCATTCATAAATGTGTAGACTAGAGAATTGTACCCATATATGCAACAGAATATGTGTAAAAAAATGTATATACCAGCCTTGCTTGGAATTGTCCAAAACAAAAAATATTAAATACCAGCTATAGAATGGATAGACTGTGATATTGATAAAGTGGAATATTATGCAGCAATGAAAATAAAAATCTTCAATTACATGTAACAACAGATAAACCTTATAAACATAATGCTAAGCAAAAGACACAAAACAGGGCTGAAGTTGTAGCTCAAGGGTAGAGTGCTCACCTCACAAGTGGAAGGCACTGGGTTGGATCCTCAGCACCACATAAAAAATGAAGGTATTGGGTCCATCTATGACTAAAAAAATTTTTTTAAAAGGACACAAAACAGTACATACAGCATGATTGTGTTTATATTGCCTTTTGAATAATTCCATTTATAACATAAACAATATCATCCACCAACAAATCAACCAAAAATGTAGTTTCTTAACAGAAATCTCACACTATAAGAAACTAAAGGAAACAAATGGCTTACCAGAGAATTTAGAATCTGAATAATTTGCTTTATCCTTAGAAAATAGCAATTCACGTAGAGTTCAAGTCCTATGTCTGAGTAATAACTGGAAGATCTTTTGTTATAGAATTTTCTATTTGTGCTACACTAGATAAGGAAGGTGAAGTCAAATTCCAGTGCCTTGGTTTTGCATGGCTGGGCAATTGGCTTTAGGCTAATTTTAAGGATGCATGATACTCAGGTGATTGTTATTCCACTGTCAAGTTTTCAGTTGACTAACCAAACAATTGAGCTTATTGAAAATGCTTTCTGTAGCACATAAGAATGGAAAGTCTTGTCCTTGCTAACAAGACAAACAGGAAAAATGTATATGAGATAAGAAAGTGTCTTTGAGGTCCAGTCTCACATTTGGTGCAGCTAGAGGCATGTGGTAGACTGTAATATTGCTTATAATATATTCTTATAATATATTCCAGTTTCCTGTCTCTGCAGTACTCCTCCCTGTGGGATTTAGGGGTCAATTGCTACTTTAGCATAACTTCACTCTGCCAGATACAAGACAGAAATACCACACTAAAATTTTACTAAAATAAAGCTGAAAGAATGGTTTTCTAATTTAAATATCTTTCCCCCAAAGCCCAAACTATTATCTTTTGAGTCGTATTTTCTTGCTTTAGTTCTATAAATTTATTTTAAAAGTTTCAGATTTGCATCATTATTATAGAGTTCCCATACATCCACAGCCAGTTTTTCC